AATGGAGTCACCACGTAAGTCCTGCAGACCATCACATGAAGCCTCCACTAGACCACAAACTCCTGCTTGGCCTGTTATAGCAGCTAGCATTACCCTGCTTAACATACTTAGCAAATAGGGCTGTGGTGAGATCAAATCAAATGACAGCTGTGTCACAGACTCTCAGATGGGACATTTCTTATGGCATCAGATTTCCAGCAGGAGCCCCAAAGCCTAGAACAAATACAGGATATTAAATACCCCCATATCCCAGAAGCTACAAATTCACACCTGCAGGAATTTTCTTAGGAACACAGTATTCATTTTCCTCTTCCTCTTCCAGCCCTCTCAGCCTACATAAAGAAGTCAAGGTTAAGGTTCTAAAGTTAGACAACTTCTGTTTGACTATTGTGTCCACAACTTTATAGCTGTTGGACCACTCTGTGGGCCTTAGTATCTTTAAGATGCCATTAATAGCAGCATTTACTAATTATTAACAGCAGTAATTATTAATAAATATTATTAGCTGTTGGTGAAATTAAATAACAACACAGCCCAGTGCCAGTGGCTCACACCTGTAATCCTAGCTACTCAGGAGGCTGAGGTCTGAGGATTGAGGTTCCAAGTCAGCCTGGGCAGAAACATCTGTGAGACTCTTATCTCCAGTTTACCACCAGAAAAACTGGAAGTAGCACTGTGGCTCAAGTGGTAGAACACTAGCCTTGAGCTGAAGAGCTAAGGGACAGCATCCAGGCCTAGAGTTCAAGCCCCATGACCAACAAAATAACAACAACAACAACAACACAGTATTAAGGTGAAGGGTCAAGCTTGACTTAGAGAATGTTAATTGGATAGTGGAACTGGACAGAGAGGCCTGGGCAGGAAGGAGGGATGTGATCCAGGATGGACCCAATTATGTGAGTTCGTCACCAAGTTTAGATTATTAATGAATTGAGAGATTCATCAGTGATTGCATCTTTATTCCCACTCTTTCTTTTTCTTTTTTCTTTTTCTGTTGGGTGTGGGTTTTGAACTCTGGGCCTGGGCGCTGTCCTTCAGCTCTTCAGCTCAAGGCGAGCACTCTGCCACTTGAGCCACAGTGCCACTTCCGGTTTTCTAAGTGGTTTATTGGAAATAAGAGTCTCAGGTCTTTCCTGTTTGGGCTAGCTTTGAACGGAGATCCTCAGATCTCAGCATCCTGAGTAGCTAGGAGTACAGGCGTGAGCCACCAGTGCCTGGCCCAATTCCCACTCTTTCTGACATCTAACTTTTCCTTTGATTATGCTTGTAGATGACAAAGTAGTATTAACAGTACCGATCTGTTGCCAATAGAAATCACAGATATTTTCATATCACTTGGAAGTTGTTGCAGATATCTCTAAGTACTGTTTATACGGTCACTGCATTGGAATTGTGGTAATTAACTAGATCTTGTGTCTCTCGTTAGCAGTGAAGCACTGTATCACATGCTTTAATTTTTTTTGGTTAGGATATTAATGTTGATTTAGAGAAGAGGTTTGGCTTTGTTTTGCATTTTATAGAAACCATTTCAAATCCCTGACTGCCCTTCTAGAGAAGGGGTGAGTTCAGTGCAGATGTCACATTGAACTTTAATCATGGCAGGCACAGAGCAGGTATCAGGAAAGGAAGGGAGGCTGTAGATGTAGGTCATTGAGAATGCTTGAATAGCATGTACAAGTCCCTGAATTTGACCCCTAACACCATAAGAAAAGAGAAAGAGAAAGAGGGTGGGGGAGGGAGAGGAGAGAGACTTGAATGGGATGTTTCAGGAACTGAGAAGTTTGGGGGGCTTAGGAGACAGAGAAGGGCAGTCCTTGAGGTGAGCAGGGGTTTAGAAGTCAAAGTCAGTTCCCTGGAAGGAGAGGCTACTGAGAGGCTAAAGCAAAGATGAAGAGAGCTATCTGAGCTCTGAGATCTGAGCTGTCTTGATGAACACCAGCAGGGACAGTGAATGCTCCATGATTTAAGACCAGACCAATGTGCTGGAGCCAAGTGCAACCGGGTTTCCCAGCCCACCTAGACATGATCAGATTCTCCCTGATGCCATAATTCATTGCCGGGGCGGGGGAGAGGAGAGACACAGAGAGACATAGACAGAGAGATAGACAGAGAGACAGAGACAGAGAAAGAAAGAGGGGGGGTTCCCTGATTTGGGGCCAAACCTACATCTGATTAAATAATACTTGCTTTTCTGAAGCCAGCACAAGCATGAAAGAAAAGTGTACCATTTAGAGAACTACTAATAAACTTCCCTAGATGTTGTGTTAAAAAACATTAAAGCCACTCAGCAGCAGAAAAAAAAAATTCTGGATCTAGCTCTATCACCAAGGCCTTTGCCTTGCCCCAACACCGGCTGCACTTCTCCATCGCGGCCACAGGGGACGGCAGTGGGCTAGTCTCCCAGGCTTCCTCCTGGCCTCTCCGCAGTTCATGCACGTATGTGCCCGCTAGTGGGCAACAGTACATTGGTGTTCCTTTCCCAAACTCAACTGAAGCCAGGCTCAGTACTTTGACAGATTTTCTAAGAGGTAGGAGGTTTGGAAAGACACCAATTTCTAGGCCTTCATGTCTAACAAGTTTCCAGGCTATGGGTTATGCTCTAAATATGGGCACCAGCCTTTGAGAACTACTGAAGTTGGGGTTGGGTATGAGAAAGGACCTCTGGTCCACATGAGAACTACTGGGAAATCCTGAGACCAGAGCTCTCAATTTCAATTTTTCAATGACACTACATATTTACTCTTTGAAGCCTCATCAAAACCCCTTTTCTTAAAAAAAAAAAAGATAGACATGCAGAGTACCAGTGCCTCATACCTGTAATCCTAGCTACTCGGGAGGCTGAGATTTGATGACTGAGGTTCAAAGACAGCCCAGCAGGAAAGACTGTGAGATTCCTATCTCCAATTAGCCATCAAAAAGCTGGCAGTGGAGCTGTACTTCAAGTGGTAGAGTGCTAGCCTTGACTAAAACAATCTCAGGGACTGATAGCACCCAGGCCTTGAGTTCAAGCCCCAGGACTGGCCCAGAAAAAAAAGTTATATTTTATTGGAAATTGACAAATTATAATCACATATATTGATGTGATGCAAAGTGATAGTGTGATATATACATACAATAGAGGATGACTAAATCAACCTAATCAACCTATCTGTTACCTCCAAAGCTGAGACTTTTTGATAATGACAGCATTTAATGGAAGGGAAGGGAAGGGAAAAGGAAGGGAAGAAGGTCCTGGGTTCAGCTGACCTTTTCTGGTAAGTGTGCTTCTCCAATTCCAGCCTCAGTTTCTCCTCTCTGGAATGGGGGATCAGCCTGGTTTTCACCTATGATCTTTGAATGGATGACCTTGACCCCATACCCCCTCCTCTTGACACACAGAGGGCCTCAGCTCCTGCCTTCACATCACTGTCCAAAGAATTGCAGAGGCCCGCTGCCCTTTCCCTGTGCCCTGCTCTGGGTCTCTTTCCTCCCTGCCAGGACCCCTCTTCTGGATGAGCTCACAGCCCCCGAGCTGGCTTCCCATCTATGTCCTGGCCTTGTTTTCTGGGTGGAAGCAGTTACTCACGGAAGCGTCCCTACTTACTGTTGTATTTATGCGAAGCTTGAACACAGGCAGAACTCACCCAGATGAGAGAACTCATCTTAGATGTTGCTGGCCAGGAGGAGGGGACAGGGCTGGCCTTGGGAGCCTCCAGAGACACTGGGATCGAGGTGTAGGTCTCACGTTTGTAATAACTCATTCACCCATGAGCTCATGACTTGTGTGTGCAACTGTGTGGGAATTACATGTACAATAAATTCAGTTTCAAAGAAGAAATCCCCCCCTTTTCCTTTTTCTTTTTGCCAGTCTTGGGGTTTGAACTCAGAGTCTGTGGACTCTCCCTGAACTTTTTTTTTTTTTTTTGCTCAAGGCTAGCCTTCTATCACTAGACCTCTACTTCTGCCTTTTTGCTGGTTTATTGGAGATAAGAGTCTCATGCACTTTCCCACCCAGGCTGGCTTTGAACCACAATCCTCAGATCTCAGCCTCCTGAGTAGTTAGGATTACAGACAAGAGCCACCAGTGCTTAGAAATCCCCTTTTGAGTAAATACAACGTTTTCTAATTGCCTGTTTGGCTCCTGATAGAAACACAGGTAGACTATGAAGGAGGATGTAAAATGCCTCTCTTTGTGTTGTTTTGTTGTTGTTTTCCCCTCTTTGTAACAATAAAAAATAGCACACCAAACAGAATGACACACTTGGCTTGGTTTATTCTGGGCTGGGCTCAGCCTCGGGGCGGGGCCTTCATATGCCCTGCCTTTCTCCCCATGGGCGGGCTCAGTGTCTGGCTCATTGTAGGGTTCGGCAAGGATGGTGTTAGAAATACCAAGTAGGGTTCGCTGATCTTTCTCTCTTCTGGGCAGTGTGGTTTTGTCTTGTGCTGTGCACAAATAATTTCACCACTGAGTTCTGCCTGGTGATGAGGGGACCAGCACAAGTCCATACCTGCCTTCCTTGTTTGGGGGTGACTTTGCAGAACCCCTGCTGCAGCCTAAGTGTTAAAGTGATAGTCGTTCATCTCTGGCCTGGGGAAGCGGGGGAGGGGGGTAAGGTGGGAAGGGGGGTGACAAAGAGAAGACTCATCCATGAGCTTGTGTGACAGTGCTGTGTGCAGGCCAGGGGTGTACCAGGAAATGCCAGAAGCCCTGTCTAGCCTTTCTTAGGCAGGATTAAAAGGGTGGAGGTGGGAGGGGGTATGTCACATGCCAGTGGATCCTAGCTACTAAGGAGACTGAGGTCCTCAGATCTCAGTTCAAAGCCAGCCCAGGTAGGAAAGTCCCTGAGACTCTTTATCTCTAATTAACCACCAAAAAGCTGGAAGTGGAGCTGTGGCTCAAGTGGTAGAGCCCCAGCCTTGAGTGAAAAAGCTAAGGAACAGCACCCAGGCCCTGAGTTCAAGCCTCAGTACTGGGAAGCCAACAAACAGAAAAAGAAGGAAGGGGTGGAGGCTGGTCCTGGTCACATGCCCGTGTGGACCTCATGCACACAGGGCGTCTTGTTAGCGTTCTTGCCCTGCTGGCTCTGGGTGGTGTCACCTGCAGCCAGGATTTGGGCAGGTGCCATCAGCTCTGGGTCCAAGCCTGGGTACAGAGTTGCCTGCTGGGGACAGGGGTACCTCATCTCCATCCCCAGCCAGCTCTAGAAGGCACTGTGGGTGGGCTGTGCCCCCTGGCTGGTGGGCAGGGCCTGGGCAGGCACAGGCGACGCTGGGTCTCCAGCTGGCAGAAACGGTTCTGATTGGACACCCGGGTGGCCACGCCCAGCCCACAGGTGGTGGAGCAGGGGCCCCACGCTGTGCTCCATTCTGGGCAGGAGACACCAAGGGCTGAAAGCTGGCGTCCTAGGGGTAAGAAAGTGGAGTGAGCACTTTGAAGGTAGAACTTGGCAGCCACAGCTAACCTGATCAAGTTATGCAGCCTATCTGCACCTTGGTGCTTTTTTTCCCCTCCCTCCCTCCCTCTTTCCCTCCCTCCTTTCTCTCCTTCCCTCCCTCCCTCTCTTCCTTCTTTCCTTCCTCCTTCCCTCCCTCCATCCCTCCCTTCCTTTCTTTCCTTCTTTCCTTTTTAGTTCTTCCTCTTTCTTTTCCTCCTCCTCCTCCTCCTCTTCCCTCCCTCCATCCCTCCCTTCCTTTCTTTCCTTCTTTCCTTTTTAGTTCTTCCTCTTTCTTTTCCTCCTCCTCCT